GAAGTAGAGTCTATGTTAGAGTTCCTGAAGTGTTAAGAAAAAGTAAATGGGATGATAAAGCTCAACTAGGAATTTTAGTGGGTTATAATGAAAATAGTTACAGAGTTTTGTTAAATAACAGAATAATTAATGCAAGGCATGTACAGGTAATTGAAGAAAATACTCAGTTAATTTGTTTGGAAAAAGTAGACAATCAAAATAATAAAGATTTGGAAAGTGATAATACTTTAGATGTTTCAAATGAAGAGGTTAAAAATGAATATGAAACCGATGAAAACTTTGTAGATGCAGATGAGACTTATTCTAGTAGTAACGTAAATAATAATAGAGAAAATGACGTTTTAGTAGAATCACAGAAAAGAAAGAGAATCCCAGTTTCTAGATATGGTAATCCAGTTACACACTTTATTTATGTTAACCATATTGATGCAAATGTACCAAATTCATTCGAGGAGGCGATGAACTCCAATGATAGTAAGCAATGGCAAATAGCCATGGATTCTGAAATAAATAGTTTAAATAAAAATAATACTTGGCAAATTGTAGAAAAACCAAAAGATAAAAAGGTAATTGATGTTAAATGGGTTTTTAAAAAGAAAAGTAATAATGAATATAAAGCTAGATTGGTTGTGAGAGGGTTTCAGCAAAAAGATTTTAATGAAAATGCTTACTCACCTGTTGGAAAAATGCAAACTTTGAAAATTTTATTGTCATACAGTTGTAAAAATAAATTATTTGTAGAGCAAATGGATGTTGAAACAGCCTTTTTAAATGGTTATGTAAAGTCAGAAGTTTATGTAAATCAACCAGAAGGTTATAAAACAGGAGATAATAAAGTTTACAAATTGCAAAAAGCTCTCTATGGTCTCAAAGAAAGTCCTAGAGTGTGGTATGATTGTTTTGATATATTTATAAAAACTTTGAATTTTGTTAGAAGTAGTTATGATTACTGTTTGTATGTTAAAAAAGCAAGCAAAGATCCAATATACATATTAATATTTGTTGATGATCTTTTAATATGTTGTAAAGATAAAAATAAAATAAAAGAGGTGAAAACAAGTTTAATGAAACGATTTGCAATGAAAGACTTGGGGAAAATTAAAAGCTATATTGGCATAGATATTGAGTATAATGATGATAAAAATGTGATGACATTAAGTCAAACAAAGTATATTGAATCTTTGGCTGCAAAGTATAATTTGGTAAATACTAAGTTATATGATACTCCTATGGAAACAAATTTAAAATTAGAGCAAGCTAGTGAGGTCGATGAAAGTATTAAGTACAGAAATATAATAGGTGAATTATTGTATATTAGTACAGGCACAAGACCAGATGTAGCGTACAGCGTTAATTATTTGAGTAGATATCAAAGTTGTTATAACCGAACACATTACAAATATGCAATGAGGGTGTTAAAATATTTGTATAAAACTAAGAATCTAAAGTTAACATATTATGATAATGCAGATGCTGATATTTTAGACTGTATGGTTGATTCAGACTATGCAGGGGATAATGTGGATAGGAAGTCTACAACAGGTTTTATTATAAGATTTTTTGGAAATTTAATATTTTGGAAAACACGTAAACAAAATACAGTAACTAAATGTTCAACTTTTGCAGAGTATATTGCATTGTCAGAGGCAGTAACTGAAGTACTTTTTATAAGAAATTTGTTAAGTGAGTCATTTGATATAAACTTTTGTTATCCAATAAAATATGAAGATAACTCAGGTGCAATTGCAATAGCTAAGTATGGTAACTTTACTAAAAATTCAAAGCACATTGAAGTGCAATATCATTATATAAACGAGAAATAAAACAAACTTATATAATTAAAATTGATACAAAATGTAACTTAGCAGATATGTTGACTAAGAGTCTAGATAAATCAAAATTTTTGAAAAACAGGTTTGAATTAAGATTAATTTAGTTAAGAGTTCAGATTATTACTTTAAAGTACTGTTTAAGTAAAATATTAAAACTGTAATAACTTTAAAATACTGTTCATGTAAGATAAAATGTTAAGATTATAAATTTAAGGAGGTGTGTTGTAATAAGGTAAATATTATAATCTTAAGTTAAATAATATAAGTAGCGCCATCTAGTGTTAAGTTGGCAAGTTTCTCATAGACGTCGATATATTATCTGTGTTCTTCCCTTTTGTCGTCTGCATGGCGCCCATCATGTGCTTTCTGTGTGATTTTTAATAAAACTACGAAATATAACAAGCTATTATCTATTATTCAACCACATCCACCACTTCAACATTAACATTAGCATCCTTTCAGAAATCGGGCGTTAATGCATTTTTTTTCTATGTCCACATAATATTTTTACTTATACTAAAACATTCTTAAGATTCTAAATGTATAGCTTAATATTTAATTGTTCCCAAACCCAGAACGAACAAAGAAGAATTATAAAATACTAAATGCTTTTACCCGCGGCTTCACTCGCGTCACTAAAGGATAAAAAGCCAATGTGACATATACCAATACACACAGCGCCATCTATACCAATACTTTTGTTTTTCCGCGGGAATATCAAATTTTTCCGGAATAAAAAGTATTCTATTATTTTATCCGGACTTCTAACTATACATCTGCAAAAATTCAAAGCAATCGGTTTAGTAGTTACGGCGTTAAAGTGGAACAAACAAACAAACTGATTTGACTGCACGGTTGGTGCGGTGGCTGGGCAACCGGCTGCCGTGCAACATGTCGCGGGTTCGATTCCCGCACGGAACAACACTTTGTGTGATCCACAAATTGTTGTTTCAGGTCTGGGTGTCATGTGTATGTGAACTTGTATGTTTGTAAACGCACCCACAGGAGATAATCTTAGTGGGGCAACGTATTAAAAAAAAAAAAGTAAGGATTTTTTCAGCCGCCATTTTCAGCCTCGGCTTGTGCTTCTTCCAGCCTTTGTAAAACCTTCTGTCTTCTCTTCTCCATTGGAGTCTTGTACCACCAGGAGTCTGCTGCTGCTTCCTGTTCAAAATCAAATTCATCATCATTGTAACTTTCGTGAGACATACTAAATCCGCCCGCAGACTCGAGTAGCCAGTAGCAGCGTGACAGTCGCCGCATCGCAGGTCGCGAAATGCTGCTCATGAATATGAGCCTCTAGCATGGCTTGAAACTAGTCGAGTTCCTCGTCAAATTACTACGTGAGTAAGCCGAAAACATAATAATTTTATTCATCATCATTATTATCACTTTGTACATTATTTCGATACAACTACCTGTAACATACATCGAATAAGGCTCAAAAAAAAAATCAAATTAGAAAATCAGTATAAATAAAAAGTAAACCATAGGGATAATAACTACCTACTGCTACTGACTGCCTCGTTGGTCGAGTGGTCGCGAGTGCGACTGCTGGGTAAGGGGTTTCGGGTTCGACTCCCGGGTTGGGCACAGAATTATTGGGTTTTTGAAAAATACTCGGTAGTAGCACGAAGTCCGAAATTGTGCCCGGTATATGGCTATAGGCTCACCCCCTATTACATGGGACTCATAACATGAATAGTAAAAAGTGGGTGCCGTAATGTACACTTCTACCTACTCCTTCGGGGATAAACGGTATAATGTTACGTTATGTCGATACAACTACCCTGTACGTATAAGATTTGTTAAGGCTACTGTTATAATTGGATTCTTGAATAGAAACTAGGCTGAGTTTCGTATTCGCATCATTGGAATATTCAGTACTCAAATTCTCAATTCAGTTAGAAACTGAATCTATGTGGAATTTGTGAAGTAGGCCTAAGCCTTATACTCAATGCTACGAGACTAATCTGAATAACTGGTTAAAAATCCACGATACAGAATATTATTGATGAAATAGTGTTAGTGGATTAAGCCACTTACATGTTCAGCATAGACTACCCCTTCGGGGATAAAAGGCGTGATGTTATGTTATGCCGATACAACTACCCTGTACGTATAAAATTTGTTAAGGCCACTGTTATAATTGGATTCTTGAATAGAAACTAGGCTGGGTTTCGTATTCGTATCATTGTATAATTTTTTCATTCGTATAATTGGAATATTCAGTTTTCAAATTCTCAATATTCAAAGTTAGAAACTGAATTCTCACTATAACGAGACTTATATCACAACTGGCGTAGAATCTTCGGAATATAATTGAAAATCTACATATAATTTTTAAGTGAAATGTAATAGAGTTAGTGGATGAAGCCACTTACATGTTCAGCATAGACTGGTTCCCTCGTGCTAAGCTGAACAGCTATTTCAGCAGCTGTTAGTACACGCACACGCAGTTGCAAACGCCTTTTTGTTGTTAGTACAGCATCCAAAGCTTCTAAAAGAGTGCCTGATGATACAAGATAAAATTTATATTATTTCTTAATAAACCTGTTAGATACGATCAAAGTCAAAGCATTTATTTCAATTAGACCATAATTTGGTACTTTTGAAACGTCAACAAATACAAAATAAATAATAGTCTGTGAGTCAGTCCATCAGTGAAGCTAGGTGAAGCTAGGTGCTCATTCCAAAATGTAGATTCGAATGGAGAAGAACGAGCAAGAAACTCCATACTTTACTCTTTTTAAAAAGTATGTTCTACAATGTCTCTGATACATATTCCAATACTGTACGTATATGTGAGAACAATGCAAAGACGCGCTTGACGCATTATAGGTACGTAATAATTACAAACCTTACTATAATAATAAAAATAAAAATATCTTATAGTCTAACATGGTGCTCACCACGTGCTCACATATGCGTACTGACAATCCATAAAAATAGTGCTTCTATACAAGAAAAGGAAACTCTTTGTTTCAATAAAGAAAGGAATGCTCGATGCCATAAGGAAATGATAATATAATATATTTAGTAGATGAAATAAAAACAATAATAAAAAGGTTTATAAAGAAAATTAAATCTTTACCTAATGTATATGAGTCAGAAATCCTAGACAAACAAGATATATCCAATCTAGGATTTAGAGCCCCAGCTCTATGGAGCTTGCTTCTCCACATCATAGAAATGCTTCCATAATCAGCTCTTGGTACTTGGATGATCTTCTGATAGCATTGGAATAGTAGTTTTTGTTCTGCGTCCCATGGTGCTCTTGAAGTACCAATGAATATGACACGATCTTCTGGACAAATGCCTGAAGACAAAAAAGAAAAGTGCAAGAGGTTTTTGAGGATGGTTATACTAAGTAAGACAGATAGTATTCTTAATGTGGTTCTTGAAAGTGAGTACAGACGAGAAGAAGACATAAGTCCTGCTATTAGATTTTTACTTGTCTTTCATAAAAAAAAAGAAAAACAAACCTAGGTAGGTAAGTACGTCATTTAAAATTAATTAACTGGTTGGGGACCCATAAATAGTGCTGGACCTATTGCTAAAGAACATAGTTCGTGTAAGTTGAAAATTGTGATCAATAGAGGTATTAAAAAAATGTCACCTAACTGAGTTGAATTTTTAATATTACCTTTAATAATTTTCACTAAATCCTTCTTCAACCGTTTTGGATCAGTCTTGTCTGTTTTTGGAATTTTCTTGACGAACGGTTTCTCAGCATCGTCCATCCAAATTACTGATGGTTGTAAAAGCCTGGACACTTTCATCACCAAGTGAATTAACATGATAAGCCCAGACTTGCCAGGATATTTGCCCACTATATTAGCGGGTGTTAAATCAAAAAGCATGGCTCCAACTTCGTTACAAATGGAATGGACTAACATCTTCTTCCCACATTTTCCTGGCCCTGAATACAAAATTAATTATTTTAGCCAACTTTTACTACACCGAAATAACTTCTGCTAATACTGATAATAGTTATACAGACCTGTTATAAGAACCGATCTCACTAAAGGAGCATTATTCCGAACTAATTCAGATCCCAGTGGTAGTATACAATACTCCTTTACCAGTTGCCTAACATCGCCTAAACACGGTGTTGCCTCAACTCCACTTTCTCTATAGCTAGCTCCTACAAAGCACTTTTCTCCAATATAGTCGTCAATCTTGACTAGAGGATATGGCCGTATAATGCCGTTGGATACCAGTTCTTCAAACAAAGATTCTGTAGTTCTATCGGGCGTTAAATCTTTCTCTTTTTTCTTTTTACTCTTCTTCCCTCCACGACGAGTCTGCAGAAGGTAAAATCTGCTTAGTAGTATAAAATTCTGCTAAATTATTATGCTAACAGCAAGCCTTATCATACCTTTTTCTGTTGTTTCTTTGATTTCTTCCCTTTCTGTGCTCTGTCTCGGTCGTAAGCAGCTTGCAGCAGCTCCAGTTCATTCCTCATTAATTCATCCACAATGTTCCTAATCTCCTGTTCAATCTTGACCATCTTTTCTCGTTCTATCATGTCTTTATAGTATCTCTCGTGAGGATTATCTGCGTCTTCTTTGAACTTCCATATATCTTCATATCTAAGGATATTAGGGTATTAAATAATTAGAGGTAATTGGTATTTACAAAAATTGAAGTGCAAACTGAGAGTGATCCTGGGTTTAAATTTAATTATTTACCCGTTTAACATAATATATTAAAAAAAAAACTAATATTATGTTGATTTTACTTACTCCTCATTAGCACCAGTCATATCTTTCAAGAAGGCAGAACTAGCACACTTGTAAGTGTCAAGGTCATCAGCATCTTCTTTCCCATTTTTACCATTTTCATCTCCTTTACCATTCTTTTTATCTTTGCTTTCCTTACTCCTTTTGGATTCTTTAGAAGACACAGGCGATGACTTGCTTATTTCACTATCCATACCAGTTCCTGGAATAATAAAGAAACTTCATATTACCTACGTTGGAACACAAACATTTTTTTTTTTAAAAAAAACGTTGCCTCACCAAAGAATTTCCCCTGTGTCGTGGGTGCGTTTACAAACATACAAGTTCATATACACAATGACACCCAGACCCGAAACAACAATTTGTGGATCACACAAAGTGTTGTCCCGTGCGGGAATCGAACCCGCGACATGTTGCACGGCAGCCGGTTGCCCAGCCACCGCACCAAACGTGCAGTCATTGTGCAGACATTGGCAATGGTCAATGTGTGTTTGATGTAAGAACAATTAATAACATACCAGTTCGACTGTACATAGCTCTGCTGCCTCCGCTTTCTTCAGAAGGCATTTCAGGAAACCGTCCAGTTCTATCATAGTACTCTCTTATCCACCTCCGCAGTTCGTCTCCAATCTGTTCGTTCAACTTTTTCTCATGTTGTTTTCGAAGATCTTCTTCAATTGAGACTAATGCTGCTTGATACTCTTTCTCTCTCTCTGATTGCAATTTTCGTCGGTAATCCTTAACCTGTAAAAATGAATGAAATTCGCAACATATTATTCTTTGAACCAGTGAATACAAGAAGACCATTAGCTGAAGATCTAAGTTCCAATGCCAACTGCTAGAACTAATTAATTAAATAGGTACTCTTATGTAAACTAGTTCATGTCAAAAATAAATACATACTTCTTCTGCTTTCCTCTGAGCTTCAGATTCCATATATGGAGGCAATTCCATGCCAATTAAGAGCTGTTCTTCTATTTTCCTGCGTCTGGTCAGTCTTCTTGCTAAGAATCCTCGCCAGACCTTCTGAATAGCAGTGGCTGCAGATGCTGACATCTCTCCTTTCTGATCTCTACCTTTCTCTTTTAGCAGACGAATTTCTTTCATAAACTGACCTCTAAAAATAAATTCACCAATCACTTACCATTAAAATAAACATCAATTCAGCAACCAATCATAATATTATCTAATCTATAGCTTTTAAACTCATCTCGAACTCTTATTTATCACCTACCTTAATCTTCCCTGTCTAGCTCTTTCGTGGCTTTGTATGATGATCACGGCCTGCTGTTCCGTCAGTACTAGAGGTTGTGGCTTCGGAGGCTCATAACCCAACTTTCTCAATGTGTCAAGTACAAACTGTCGTCTACTCTCAATCTCTTCTGCTCTCTCACGGATGAAAAATTGTGGTATACACGGTTCAGCTTGATTTGGAGTCACTTGGAGCTTAACTAGAGCCTGAAAGTATTTTAATCATAAGTTTTGCTTATTTTTTGAGTAAGTATGCTTATAGATTGCATTGTCGGTTATAGATAAGATATAATGAGATTAATTAAATTGTATAACACACTCATCGGATATTAATCATATAATCAGCGTTTCATCGATCTAATAGCCATTCAAGCAATAATTGTTAATCTATTGAACTTCAGTGCTGAGACAAAAAACGAATGAAGATCTGTGATGAAATACAAATTTGACTACGAGCATAAAGTAGACGCTGAAGAAGCAGGACTACGAGATAATGAGCTAAATAGGTACACAAACAACAACTAATAATTTTATTCTTTTATAAAAACTGACTTCAACCCCTTGTTCTTCTTCAATTTGTTGAAGTCGGTTAATTAATATACTAAAACCTTCTCCTAAGTGTAACAAACACTTTTCTGAAAACCGCATCAAAATCAGTTCAGCCAAAATACATAACATCATGCCTTTTATCCCCGGAGGGGTAGGCAGAGGTGCACATTATGCCACTGTACATTGTAACACCCACTTTTCACTATTTATGTTATGAGTCCCGTGTTATAGGGGGTGAGCCTATTGCCATATAATGGGCATAATTCCAGACTCCGTGCTACTACTGAGATTTTTTTTAAAACCAAGTAATACTTTGCTCGACCCGGGAATCGAACCCGAGACCCATTGCACGGCAGTCGCACTTGCAACCACTCGGCCAACGAGGCAGTCAATCGCAAGATATTCGTGCACAAACATATATACCTCTACAGGTGGAACTGAGTACCTCCTTATTTGAAATCAGTTAAAAAATAATTTGATAATTTGAATGTTCATTTTTATTAAAAAGATACTCATAACAACAATAATAATGGATACAGAAGACGTACCTCATCATCATCAAAAGTATGATCAGTCAAGCGCATCTCCACTAAATCATGTTTTATCTCTATTAGTCTTCCCAAACAAGATTCCAACAGTCTTTTGACAATCATCCGCTTTTGTGGCTGCAAAAGTTGGTCGTACACTGTATCCAGCCGACTGAGCAACATCGTATACCTCACTCGAAGTTCAAGAAGAATTGGTAGAAGTGTATTTCTGTCAGCTGCTCCCGCTTCAAAAAGCGCTTCATCCGCTTGAGTTGCTTCTCCTATAAGCTCTGAAGTCTCGACCAGCAAATCGTTATAAGTTTTATTGGACATTTTTTCCCTGTTTATTCACTTCATTTGATTTTGAACTTTACCTTCTTAAATGTTAGGTACGTTGTTGTGTTTATCTTTCTAGCCTATTGAGTTATTGCTAAGATATTCGTTTCTCATTGTATCTGTTATTTACTTATTATCTCTAGCAATAAACACTGTTCTTCGTTCACCAGACAACTAGTCACTGATATTTCCTAAATTGACAAAAACACGGAATATGATTTTAATTCATCGAGTCACCTCGTCACTGTTTTGCGTTGTGTGTTGAGCTTTATCGACTTAACTTGCGTCGCTAGGCACCCTATCAGCTCCGTCACAGTTGAATTAACGTGTTTTTAGTAAAATTATCGTATTGAACTATTGATGCGTAAAGCAGAACGCCAATATATTAGGTTTTATACCTTTTTGGAGTGTCATGATATAGTGGTTATGGTTTTGTATCCATTATAGAGTTTTTGTAAAGAATTTGTATTGTGTGTGTGTTCATAATTTTTCATCGAATAAAGTTACTCAATAGTTACTGATTTCGGTTGACTTACTTAAAATGGTTTTAGGGTTAAATATTAAATAAATTGTCACTTTATAAAATAAATGTGACACCTACGCTGAAATACTATAACGTCACTCAATTTTAAGTCATGGTTAAGTATAGTTCTGTCTCTACTAATTCTTTGTATAATGACAGAGATGGCACGATATTTAAATACAACTTAAAGTTGAGTAGTTTTTCAGTATTCAGGCGTTAATATTCATAAAATGACAAGATAATTTTTCTATTCCATCAATTTTCATCTAGGTATACAAGATAATAATGACATGAAAAAATATACACAACATCACGCCTTTTATCTCCGAAGTGCACATTACAGCACTTAATGCCACTGTACAATGTCCCATGTAATAGAGGGTGAACCTATTGCCAAGCAGGAACAACTCCAGACTCCGTGCTACTACTGAGATTTTTTTTTAAACCCAGTAATACATTGCCCGACCCGGGAATCGAACTCGACACCCCTTGCGCGGCAGTCGCACTTGCGACCATGCGTTCAAAACTAGTAGAGCTTTTCTCAGTGAGTAACCGGCGATTTTTAGTTAATTTCGCATTTATTACATTACTAGGATAAAAATTACTATAATTTTTAACCGACTTCAAGAAGGGAAGTTCTCAGTTGACCTGTATGTATGTATATGTGTTTGTGAGCAAATATCTCGGGATTCGCTGAACCGATTTTAATGCGGATTTCAGAAAATTGTTTATTACACTTAGGAGAAGGTTTTAGTACGAATAAACCGTATAAATAACCTTAAAGAAAGAGAGGATTGAAGTGAAGTCGGTTTTTATAAACTTAGTTTGTAAAATAATTATTTATCCATCACTTGTCTACCAACTTTTATTAAACACTTTGAAAACTTACCTAGGAATCGAACCCGTTACTATCCACAATCATCTAACCACGTTTGCAACTAGGTAGACATTAAACACATTGTAGGATACTTAAACATATCTCAAGTGCCAGTTATCACGTCTCTCATCATAAAATTGCACACACAAATTTCATCTTTATCCGTATACATATAAAGTTGAGAACATATAGAAGAAATGTAGATTACCTTGATGTGCTGGTGTCTGTATATAATTTCCTCTGTTAGAAATGTACCACTTAAGTAAATAAGACTTGCATGTGTTACTTAATCGCTTGCTTGACGTAAATTGATGGAGACTGCGATGTTTACGTTGGCTAAGTTGTATTTTATTATAGTTAGGTGTATTTTAAATAATATTTTTTGTTAACATAACATAACATCACGTCTTTTATCCCCGAAGGGGTAGGCAGAGGTGCATATTATGCCACTGTACAATGTAACACCCACTATTCACTATTTATGTTATGAGTCCCATGTAATAGGGCTATGTAGGGTAATATACCGGGCACAATTCCAGACTCCATGCTACTACAGAGATTTTTTCTTTGCCCGTACCGGGAATCGAACCCGAGACCCCTTGCCCGACAGTCGCACTTGCAACCACTCGGCCAACGAGGCAGTCATTTTTTGTTACATTACTTAAAATACCTAAACATATTACTATCAAGCATGCATGAAAAGACTGTTGATGAAGCGAAAGAGGTATGTAAGAATCGTAGCAATTGGCGTTCCATAGTCTCTACCTATCTCCATGGGAGACAGGCGTAAACTTCACGCGGGTAGGCCGTGAAGTTATATATGTATACTAGCGGACCCGACAGACGTTGTCCTGCATATCCACTTGAATGTATAAAAAAATAATCATTCAATTTCGTTCAGCCGTTTAGGATAAATAACCTAGACACCGACTGCAGCGCCATCTGCCAGGCTGATTTGTAAAGCTATTCCCAGATCACCTTGAACACACAAAAAATTTCATCAAAATCGGTCCAGTCGTTTGAGACAAGTTCAGTGACATACCCACTCACAGAAGAATTATATATATAAAGATATGCCTAAACGACACTAACCAAGGAATGTTTTATTTTCGTATTTTAAATACGATAACTCTTTGCCAACATCAGTTTATCTAGTACTATCATCATCAATGGTATACAAATTGAATTCTAATCATGAATTTATTAATTATCACACCATTTTGGTCTGCAAAAGGTTTTGGGGAAGTTGCACGTACATGTAATACCCACTTTTCACCAGTTATGGCTATATTCAACCAGATACCATGGCGGCGCTACCAGTGGCCGCTACCAACAATATATGTACAGCTTTATAAAGAGGTACTCACTTGGTGTATGCTTGGTGGGTATACGAGGCAAACAGTAATAAGTCATGGTTATAATAACAAACAAAAAGTCAAGACTAAAAAGCAAAAAATAACTATTATTAGTACTGATAGGTTACCCACCCACTGATAGGTAAGAAGTCGCGGAGTACTGCGCGAACAAACAAAAAAAAAAAACAAAAAAAAAAAAAACAATCAGCCGAACATAGTACCTCCTCCTTTTTTTGAAGTCGGTAAAAAGAAGTATAAATAAGTAGAAAATTAATACACAAAGAACATGTTTCACGTATCTTAGCATTACAGTTGGTGTGACCAACGGAAGACTGGGTTGCCGGGACTCCGGCTCGAAGTGCAGGAGTAGGAACGGGGTGGTTTTTAGTCAGTAAGAGTCTGACATGCCCTTCGCTTCGTCCGCTTCATCCAGACGGGAGAAGTCATTGGATGATTTTCCCTCTCAAAAAAAAACTTATAAAATCATTTCAATTTAAATTACTTACTACTTATTTATATAAAGCGGAAAAGTTTGCTTGTTTGTTTTTTGAACGTGCTTTTCTCAGTAAATACTAGTCCGAATTGAAAAATTCTTATAGTGTCATATAGTATGTTAATATCGAGAGAGGCTATCGGCTATACAATAGCACGCTAAAATAAATAGGCACCGAGCATAGCAGGTAAAACAGCGACGAATTAGCTAGTATAGTATGAACAAAAAAGTCAGGTAATAAAATCTAGACTATAAGATCTACATCATATAAAATTAAACATTACTTAGAAAAAATAACGAGTTAAGACTATGTATACATTATGTATTTGTATGTATCTCATCAGAATCTAATAAGATTGAGGAGCGCAGCGTAAATTATAGTATAAAGTGAACGAGTACTCTTGGACTGGTCGGAATAAGGCATGGTGTACAAAGTCGGAAATATATTCTAAAAAAGTAATAGAAGTATTTTTTATATTAACCGGATTTAATACCTTTTTGTTTAACATCCATAATGGAGGTGTTTGTCAAATAAAAATAATTATATTGTATAATCATCAATATTAACAATGTGCACCAAATATTAGATCGATCTGTCGTTAGGAAAGGTGTAAAATTCTATTAACAAAATTTAAACCAAACACACATACGGGCAAGTTTTCGGGCAAATCTTTTAGTAATAGTAGTATTAAATTAATGGTAAGGATTATGTCTTTTTTTCTCATTACCATAGTATCATGATGATGGTTATCAGCTACGAGACGTCGACATATTACTCCCGGACACCTCAAGTAAACATTTTTCTCATAACACAACCTGAAGTCACATTTTGTTTCAGAAAACCGAAAAAACTTATGCCCCTAATTAATAGTTAAGAGCTTTTTACTATTAAAGGCAAACAGTACACTACATAAGGTCGTTTCTGTCGCTAACAACTGAAATAAAACCAAGATCCTTCACTCGGCAGTCGCATTTACTAAATCAATGAAATGGAATTTATTCATAATTCAAAAATGCAAAATACAAATTATTTCGTAAGTAAAATTGATCTCATAAAGTTAGATGTCTGCACTAGGACAATCGTGTATCGCAGGCGAAAGGAGCTCTATACATAATTCTTGTAGGAGTACACCTTTTTTTTATAAACACAAATACAAAACACACAAATCCTTATTTTAATATACATACATTTTCATAAGAGATAGACAGAGGAGCATATTTAATTATACAATAAAATTATATTTAAACAGTAACACAATATAATACAAATGTAACATACCAACAATGTGTACTCGGCTTTATTCCAACCCATCATTACCTGTGTAGCCGGCCGATCAGTCGATATAAAGCAATTATGTACTTTTTTGTTTTTTTCACCTTGCAACACTTAAATAAGACATGATTGGGCAACACTCACGTAAATCCGTTAGGATTAAAGCTTTGTACCGGTACGTGGTTAGAATGCGAATGCTTCGGTGCCTATTTTGGTGTTTTGTGAATGGTATATCATTTTTAGTTCCCATACGTTGGGTAGCCCCTTACGTAGAGATTAATAATATACTTATAAAAGTAGGTTTAATGTGAATGTTATCATTTTTTCTTTTTAAAAATACTTGCCCACACTAGGATATTCTCCTGCTTTTTAAAATCTCTAGGAGTTTCTACTGTGTCGTGGTTGTGTTTATAAACATACAAGTTCACATACACATCACACTCAGACCCGGAACAACAATTTGTGGAACACACAAAGAGTTGCACCGTGCGGGTATCAAACCCGCCATTTACCTAGCTACCGCGCCAACCGTGCTGCCGTTTAATTTTGATAATTATGTTTAACTAGCTGTATCCCGCGTCTTCGTCCGCGTTTTATCCGGGATCTGGGATAAAAAGCTTATCCTATCGCTTAAGTCAGCCCATACCCTGCCTGTATACCAAATTTCACCAAAATCCGTTCAGAAGTTTCAGCGTGATTGACGTGATAGAGGTACATCTAAAGATCTAAAGATAAATTTTCACATTTATAATGTAAGTGTGATTTCTTAAGACCTAAGGCGCTACGAACTAAACATACAAACTAAAAATATACAAATTGTTAGTCTGTTTAATGTTACACAGCTAAATTATGAAGATGTATAAATATGAAAATTGTTCAGTAAAATGCCTTTTGCGTGTATACTAGCCGTTTAGCATCTAAAAACCAGGTATTTTAAACTGTGTTGTTACATTTCTCGCTAGACATGTGAAGTGTAGGCGAGCCTAGGCACAATGGTTCTCAACATATTAATAAAGTCTTTTTAAAAATGAATATTTACTACCAAGAAATTAAT